CTCACAACATACAATCAACTCACAACATACTTTCAGTAGACCTGTTCATGATTAATTGCACTGTGCAGTTAAAGGTTTTTACATGATGATGTAGCAATTGTTAAACTATCCTTCTTAGTGGCCTCCTATGTCATGCATGGTATGTTATAGCACTACTACTATGTATTATGTGTTTCTCTTACACAGACTCGAAACACCAGTTAGTTTTCTGCCAAAGAAAAAAATGTGCTTCAAATGACCCAGTGGAGTGATACATATGATACTGATCCCAGAACTGCTACTCTCTGTTTGTGCAGTCTACCTCATTTGTACTGTAGGTTTTTGTTGCATCCTTCTGGCCTCTACGTATACCATATTTTGAAATTGTAGGATGATACGTTTCCCCACATATTTTTTCAAGTTCAAAGTTAGGGTTGTCTTTCACATGGAATGTGTTTTTAAAATATGTATTTCTTAATTTTGTACCCACAAAAAATGGGTCATCTTATGTGTAGCAAAGTCTTACTCACAGAAAAATATCGTATATATTCATGCTTGCAACTGTATCATTGTTTGTGTCATATATTGATGAAGGCTTTTTAGCCACAACATTCATTTGGCATTTGTGATGACAAGCTGACTAGCTCTACTTCTGGTTTTGACCGATATATCTTCTCATGGTATTGTTACAGCTTCACTGCAGTTCCCTATTTCACCCCTTGCATGTCTCACCCTCTCAGAGCTGCCATCTGTTTGTGCCTGTCTACCTCGCCTGTACTGTATGTTTTCCTAACAGAGAAATTTACAACCTCCTTATGAAAGTGATCTTTGCAGTAACTAAAAATATATGATTTCCTTAAAACAAATGCATCAAGAAAATTGAATGTGCTTTGCTGCAGACAGTGTTCAAGAAACAGTGCGTCCATATATGATTAATTTAAAACATGACATATGAGGTGCATTCAGAAAGTAAAGCACCACATAATTTTTCTTTGATAATAATGAAGACAGAAGCACAGTTTTGCAAATTTCAAATATGGCCGGTGCGGAGGGTCTGTGCCAAACTGCACTGCAACCAGTCAAATAATACAGCTGCCCTCAACCACTGAGATGGAAAGTGTTGGTATCTTGCATTATAAGCAGCAAATTATGACAGAATTTCTTGCTGGAGAGAAAGAAACTGTTGTGAACATTCACAAGTGTCTATGTGATGAGTATGGAATTTCTGCAGCCTACAGGAGTACAGTCAGTCGCTGAGTTTAGAGAATCAAAGAATCAGGAAGTGGAGAAATGAAGCTGCTTGATTCGCCTTGCTGTGAACATCCTGCCACAGCCACCAACACAGAAATGTTAAAACATGCTCAGGGCATTATACTTACTAATAGGCAAATCACCAAACAACATCCGGCCTTGCAGTTGCCAGTGCTAACAATGGTAGTGCAATTGCACTTATAACAACTTTCCAATTTCCAAGGTTTGCATAAGATGTATTCCTTGAAGTCTCACAAATGATCACCGACTGTACAAGAAAACAATTTTTTCTGAATTGTTGGAGGGTTTTAACGCTAAAGGAGGAAACTTTTTAGGCTAAGATTATTTGTTTCAGGTGATGAAAGCTGGGAACATCATCTTGAGCCTGAGACAAAAAGACAGTCCATAAAGTGGTATCACCTGCAATCAGAATTTTTTTTGTTTTTTTTAATTCCAGACAACTACTTCAGCTGGAAAGGTCATGATCACTGACTTTTGGGAAATGGAAGGTGTGATTCTTGTGGACATTATGCCAAGAGGAGAGAGAAACAATCTGCAAGCTTATATTAACAGAATGAAAAAATACTCGGTCAACATTTTCATAAAGTTAGGTCACACAAGAATCCAACAGACTTGTTTCTCCTTCACAACAGCAGTGCACGCCCTCAAACAAGTCTGCCAACACAGGAAGCAATCACCAAACTGGGTTGGACTGTACTACCCCATCCCTCCTAGTCCTGATTTGGCACCCTCTGATATTCATCTATTTGGTCCATTTAAACATTCCTTCTCTGGGACAAAGTTGGAAGAAGATGAAGGAGTGATTCATGGGGCAAAGAAATGGCTAGATGACAGATCAAATCTGGTAAGGCTAGGAATACATTCCTTTGCTTTGCGCCGGCATAAAGTTCTACAAACAGACCGGGTTTACAGGCTGAATAATCGCTATATTTACATCTCCATGTATATTATGTATAAATTTCATGCTTTAATAATTAACAGCTGCCGGAAAAAAAAACATGTAGTGCAAGACTTTCTGAATGCCTCTCGTGTGCTAACATAAACAAAATTTTAACTGATGCAACAAATTCAAAGTATCTTCAATAAACTACAATAAATACCAAGATTACAAAATCAAAGTGAAAACTTTCCAAGAGCCACATAAATTGATCATGAACATTTGTCAGCTGTGCATAAAATAATACACAATGTTTCCCCCCAAAAAAAGAATTCGGTATTAGCATCATGTCTAGTTTTATTCACTGCAAATATAATAAATTGGTTTGAGGAGTGGTTGGCCTAACAGTTAAGAATGCAGTTAGTGATAGGTAACTTGTCCAAGCTTATACTGGTATCTGATCAAACAGCAGATATAACAATGAATGAAAATCATGACCCCCCCACAGCAAGAAACAAAGCAGACTTGGGCTGTGTCATCATAATTTTAACTTCTATTGTTTTTCTGGCAACTGAAAGAAACATTCATTAAACTGTACATGCCCAGCGAAACAAACATTTCTTAAGTTCTAATTGACGAGCAAATCAAGCTGTTATGCTGTAATTGTCTAGTAAAATCTAAACAATTTTGAAAGCTGCAGGTGTGCAGCAAATCAAACATTTTTGAATTTGTAAATGTCCAGCAAATCAAACTTTTTTGATGTCGTAAATGTCCAACAAATCAAACATTTTTGAATTCGTAAATGTCCAGCAAATCAAACATGTTTTAATTCGTAAATGTCCAGCAAATCAAACATTTTTGAATTCGTAAATGTCTAGCAAATCAAACATTAATGAAAGTTGTAAATATCCAGCAAACCAAATATTTCTGAAGTTGTAAATGTCCAGGAAAACTTTACATTTGTAAAAGGTGTAACTTCCCAGCACAAAAACATTTGGTAAATTGTAAATGACCAGCAAAACCAAACATTTCTTAAGATGCTTCTTAAGATGCTCATGTCTAGCAGACCAAATATTATTTTGGTTTCTAATTAACAAAACCGTACATGGCAGCAATAATCCCACGACAGGTAACTCCCCTGCACTTTTATATATTCTACTTCTCAGCAAAATGAGGTGGGATGGCCAATTAACTTTCTCACTGCATTCCCTTCTCAAACAAAACAGATCAGTTTAATAAGGAACCTACACCCCCTGCATGTACTTAAGTTAATCCCACAGCCTAACCAGGACCACTGTTTAACTCTTTTCCCTACCAAGCGACACACTGTGCGTATACAAGTTACTACATCTGTTTGTTAATATTCTCTAACTTGTTTTCTTCCAGCCTAAAATGGAGGATTAGGTGTGGCAGAGTGTTAAGCTTTGAAGTTATTTTTGCTTCTGACAGCACTTTGCTAATGCAGTTTCCACATTACAATAGTCTACAGTTTCGCTGCTTGAGTTACTGAGTTTAGTGCTTGGTGCAGCCCTGTGAGCAGCGTTTTTCTTGTTGAATGCCTTTTTTTTGTGCAGTGCTTGAGTCATAGTATTCAATATGGCCGGTAGCCGATTTACATGTGAGGTGGTGAAATACCTTATGCGATAATTGTACGTGGGTATAGTCAACTTATTGTGCCCTTCTACTTCCATCAACGGCAAACTGCATTTCTGGTAGTGACTGTTGGCTTTGCCGTCTCTAGCCACTGAAAAATGCATTTATTGCGTGCATACATTTCTGGATTGTTCCGGCCCTAATAGTTTGTCCCCCAGTTTTTCAAAAGCGACAGGGAGGAACATTTCATTATATTTTCACCATCACAGGAACGGAGCAAGTAATGGGAAACCTGATTGCAGAGAAGTTCAAACCATGACTAAGACTAAGAGTAACTTGTTTTCTTGCACACACATAGCCTACTTATAAACATTTTCAATAACCATATCTTTTCAATCTCTTTACATATGTTGCTGCAGACCTTTTGGTTCTCCATGGTACTTTAAATTTTTTAACAAGACAGGTATAATTTTTCAACAATAAGTGTCTGGGAGCAAAAGAGTTAAGCAGACTAGTGAAAAGCAACAACAACAAAAATAAAAGTAAACAATGGAGATTTTTCAAATCAGACATAGAATGCCGGACCTATCGGAACTCAATGGGTGATGTGGTCAACATCAAGCCCAATGTCTTACTTTCCAGGACTTTACGTGGTACCCATTTTAGGATAGGTCATGCAAGTGACCTCACCAATAAGTCCCTGTGACCTCCACACTTGAATAATACTTGTCCTCTTCTGGGTTCCAGGGCTCCCCCCCCCCCCCCACAAGCATGTCACAGAAGGTGACTAATTAGGGGTGTTTCCTTCAAAGTGTCAGCTCTGTGGCTAAGTCGATGCGAACGCTTCATAATGCTGGGATGCCGGGTTCGATCCCAGCTGCGGGCCATGTGCCTTGCGTTGGTTTCGACAGTGGTATCAAGAAAGCCAACCGTCCAGAAAGCAGTGGCAAACTACTGGACGTAAATTTGCCTAGAAAAACCACACAACAGCCTGGCTGTTGGGGTTGGTTCTGCAACGTCCTGTAAAGGATAAGCAACTAACCTTCCTTCAAAGTTGCAGTGTATCTGCCTGACAGGCAAGGAACCAACACATACAAATAAACCAAATCTGTAAAACAGATGTGCATGCAAAACTCAGTTATGGATTAAGATCAAAGTCCAGGAATGAACTAACAACTAGGACTTTCTGCCAGAGTTTTCATCCAGTGAATGCTATGAAGAAGAAGTACAAGGAGAATACTCAAGTTTCATTGAAACAATCTGTATTGTACAGCTGGTTTCAAGCTGTGGGAGAAGTGTCAGTGTACTCTGTAACCAGAAACTTCTTTTCTATAGTGATTTTAGCACAGCTGTCCACAAGTCTTGGCGATGGTATGCGGTCATTCAGCATGATGACCCGCTGATTCCTTACATCATAGAGCAACATTGTGTCCACTAAAGCTCTAACCGGGCTTGGCCCAGGGATGATGCGCTGACCCCCCAAAAGAAGGAGACAACCCCGGCGGTGGACTAGACCATAGTGGACACAGTCGAAATTCTGAATGTGACCCATGACTTTAACACAGTCAGTGCGATGGTCAAACTGAACAATTTTACCATTGTAGAGAATGATGTAGGTGCAGTTGTTACACACTGTTGCCCTGGTTAGTTTGCAGGCGAGAGGAAGCTGAGCGATAATGCACGTAGTGTGAGTCTGTGTATCAAAGCACTGAACTGCAGCAGTGTCTGTGCGGTCATTAGTCTCGCCTCCAAATACCAGGATCCTGTCTTTAGTGGCTGTAGCAGAAATGGAACTTACAGGTGTTATCAAGTGCCCTACCTCCACCCACTCACTACAGCCCAATTCAAACTCTTCTATCGAGCTCTGAACCTTGCATCCTTGCTCAAGTTCACTGTTGTACCCGCCGATGACATAAATTTTGTTTCCGCAAGCAGCCATGGCGTGTCGCCGGCGACCACTTTTCAACTTGGCCCGACACTGGGACCACTTGTCTTTTTTAGAGCAGTACCGCAGAAAACAAGATTTGTGCAAGCCTCCACCGGTGACAAAGATATCATTACTGTGAACACACGTAGCAAACTCAATGCCCGGGTCATAAGGAAGAGGTGCCAAACGAAACCATTTGCGACTATTAAACCCAAACGCCAGGACATTCTTGGATCTGACATAAGGAGGTCTAGAAGACTCTCCACCGGAAATGACAACCAAGACATCTTCATAAGAAGAAGAGGTCCTGTATGATGTCACAGGGCTACTGCTGTCATGACGATGTGCTGGCAAGAGCTGAAAGTTTTTAGCATGGTCAATGTACATATGACATTCTGTGTGTTCCTTTACAAATGTATATTTCCTTAAAATATCAATAAGGAACTGAGGCTTTGTCAGAGGTAGTCTCAGGTAGGGAAAGATATCTCCCAATAGCTGACCTCTGACCTCCAGATCATGTTGCACCCATTTAAGAACAGTTTCAACCACAAACTCTTCATTGGGACAGTTCAAGTCATCTTCTTTGATGATAGAAATCAGCTCATCTTTCTCTAGCGTCATGAAATAATCTTGCTGGGATATCTTGACAAAGTTGGCTGTGATAAATCTCCAGGCTTGCTGTTTGAGATGAGTGCTACAGTGCCACAGGGCAAGTCGCCACCTCTCAAAGCAGTTAGCAATGGTCAAAGTTCTGCAGATGAACTCTTCGCATCGTTTCTGAAGGCACTCCATCTGCAGCAAGCAAGCAGCCTTTAGAATTGCCTCTGCATTTTCTTCGGTGACAGTATCAGATCCTTTATAAATGTAATCCAAAATGGCCGCAAAAGTAGAACTCTCCGTACCTTCAATTTTGACCACCCCTGAAACACTTTCTTTCATCCCTGAAGAGAACATGGCATCAAAGTAGGGAGATATGGCACACAGGATGACTCTGTGACATTTGAACGTTCTTTCACCGACAATGATGGTTGTGTCCGAGTGAGCGCCTGTGTTGTACAGCTTTTCTAGCCCACATGACACTGCATGGTAGTACTGTTGCAACCATGAGGACGCCCCTTCCATGTTCAGTCGAGATCAAGCTTCAAGATGTTAATCCCAAGATGCTGTGCAAGACTGCTATCTCCAGTGTGAGGGGAATTCTCTGCAGAATAATTTCATCTGAAAATAGAAACAAAAACAAACACAAAATCTGTCAAAAGTATACAACAATTGTGTTTTAAACAATTAACTCTTCATGTCTTTATCATGGCTTGTAGAAAGACATGTGAGATTTAATGACATGAAGAGCTTTGCTGAAGGTAACTTAGCTATCAATAGGGCCTCTCATGCGAGACAGGTGAAAAATCCTAAGCCAGACAAAGAAGGACACAACCCTGCTGTCTCAGAGGTAGACAGGACCGCAAAAAAAAAAAAGAAGGAAAATACCTGGTTCAATTCCAGCTGCAGGTAATTTGGCAGCAGAACCTCTGAATTAATGTCAATTATAGTATGGACAGCCGACATTCGGAAAGCAAGGGCAAACTAGTGAATGTAAAACCACAAACATAAAAAAAAAATATTACTGAATTCATATGTCCTGTAATTAATATGCTATTAATAAATCATGAATAGTTGTTTTTTTTCATGTTTGGTCGTTTGCCACTGATTCTGAACAGACGTTGCTCGATACCAAGGTCAAAATCAACGCAAGACAGTCTCCTGCGAAATCACCCATAGCTGGGACTGAACCCAGCACTCTAGCATTACAAAGCACATTTGCAAATCCTAAGCCAAAGACACCGACATGAACAGAAAATATCAAAATATGGTCAGGACACACGCTAACAGACTTTAATAAAATCTCCTGATATGAACTACTAGAGATTAATAATCACCATCCTCTGCTAGGTAGAAGGCATTGGTAGATCACAGAGATCTTAGCTAGTTCATCCACTCTTCCTAGCAATCGTAAGTATTTTCACTAATTATATCTTGGTCTCCACACCCTCACAGCACTATGAAGCTTTGACGAGTGGGTTTTCAACTTCGAAGAAGCTGCTTAGATCAAATAATTACCCTGAAATGTATTTTTTAAAGAAAAACATTTTAAAACCTCCTCATCAATCAGCAGGTTCTTTACAGAACATCACTCTCAGCACAGCATGCCCGTAAGTCTCTCTTTTCTTAACCAATTTACTAGCCAGCCTTATGCATTTTCATAGCCAATGCACTTCCAATGTTCTGTGTCCACCTTTGTGGAAGTATGCCACTGTTCATTTTCCAGAAACTGTTTTTTTGTTCTATCAGGCCACAGGGACATTTAACATGGCCAAAATAGCTCAGTTTTCAGGAAATGATGCTGTTTATGAGCTAATTCTCCTCAATGTTCAGATCACGTAGCATGCTGGTGGTGTTCTTCTTCTTGGTCAATGGTATTCTAAGAATGTTTCTGTAGCATTTCAGTTTCAAACACTCAGATTTATTTATTCAATGATTGTGTAAGAGTTCTTGACTCACATCTACAAGTTTCCACAGGAAAGACGCATGTTCTCACAATTTTTACTTTAACTCACTTGCAGGTGCTGTGCCACAGATTTTTCTCTGCACTGCTAAAGAGAGTCTGTTTCTGACTTCTTTTGTGCAGTCACCATACTCAGCCTTAATATTCTAAATCTGTGACATTCTTTATCTATTTCAATACATTTGGGAATTCTTAATCTTAGAATGTTATGGTGTACCAATGAAAATAATAAACATTATTAAAGCAATGTATGTACCCTCAGAGTAGGCAGTGTGAAAACATGAAGGTTTAAGTGATTGGTTTGCAGTTAAAAGTCGAGTGAAACACAGATGTATTTTACCTTTACTGTTATCTGGCCCAAACTATTGACTCGATGATGAAAAAATGTAAGGGAAACTCTAACATCGACTGGGTGGAGCAAACACAATTGTAGGATCTCAATTTTACAGATGATATTTGTCTTCTAAGTAAGAATAGCAACTATAACAGCATATATAGCATCAAGGGTCAGATTACAAATCAGTTATGAAGCTACAAATATCTTGAAGACATCAGTAACAGATCAAGCAGATGTCACTCTAGACACACAAACACACAATTTAAGTAACAGATAATGTACTTATTTACACAGTAATTTTGATTGTCAAAGTAACATAGAATAAAAAAATTATGATATGCATTAGCCAGGCACTAGCAACTTTTAAAATTCTGCATGAGGTATGGAACTTTTAATGTTAAAGATTTAAAACCAAATTATGAGTTGTCATATTTTTCATTACGATGTTGTTTCAATTTTAACAGATGCCAGTGAAAGGTAATTAAGAAGAATTTTGAAGCAACAGAGATGTGGTTTCTGAGACGAATGTTACCAATACCTTGGATGGCCGGAGTAACTAACAACGATTGCTTGAAAGAAGCTAATGAAAGTAGATCTCTATATATAACAGTAAGAAAGAGACAAACGCTGTTCTCTGGCCACATACTGAGAAGAGAGATATTGGAGAACATTGTGACAACTGAAAAGATCAAAGGGAAAAAGGGGTAGAGTCAGACCAAGAAAGATAATGCTGGATGAGCTAAAATGATAGCATGGAGGAATGTCATTAAGAGAAATTGTTACTATCATCATGTTGTGCCCATATATGTCACACTATAAACATTGTTATTATCATCATGTTGTGCCCATATATGTCACACTATAAACATTGTTATTATCATCATGTTATGCCCCTAAATGTCACACTATAAGCATTGTTATTATCATCATGTTGTGCTCCTACAGGTCACACTATAAGCAATGTTATCATCATCATGTTGTACCCATATATGTCACACTATAAACATTGTTATTATCATCATGTTGTGCCCATATATGTCACACTATAAACATTGTTATTATCATCATGTTATGCCCCTAAATGTCACACTATAAGCATTGTTATTATCATCATGTTGTGCCCCTAAATGTCACACTATAAGCAATATTATTATCATCATGTTGTGCCCATATATGTCACACTATAAGCATTGTTATTATCATCATGTTGTGCCCCTATATGTCACACTATAAGCATTGTTACTATCATCATGTTGTGCTCCTATATGTCACACTATAAGCATTGTTATCATCATCATGTTGTGCTCCTATATGTCACACTATAAGCATTGTTATTATCATCATGTTGTGCCCCTAAATGTCACACTATAAGCAATATTATTATCATCATGTTGTGCCCATATATGTCACACTATAAGCATTGTTATTATCATCATGTTGTGCCCCTATATGTCACACTATAAGCATTGTTACTATCATCATGTTGTGCTCCTATATGTCACACTATAAGCATTGTTATCATCATCATGTTGTGCTCCTATATGTCACACTATAAGCATTGTTATTATCATCATGTTGTGACCCTATATGTCACACTATAAGCATTGTTATTATCATCATGTTGTGACCCTATATGTCACACTATAAGCATTGTTATTATCATCATGTTGTGCCCTATATGTCACACTATAAGCATTGTTATCATCATCATGTTGTGCTCCTACATGTCACACTATAAGCATTGTTATTATCATCATGTTGTGCTCCTATATGTCACACTATAAGCATTCTTATTATCATCATGTTGTGCCCCTATATGTCACACTATAAGCATTGTTATTATCATCATGTTGTGCCCCTAAATGTCACATTATAAGCATTGTTATTATCATCCTGATGTTCCCCTATATGACACACTATAAGCATTGTTATTATCATTCTGTTGTGCCCCTATATGTCACACTATAAGCATTGTTATTATCATCATGTTGTGCCCCTATATGTCACACTATAAACATTGTTATTATCATCATGTTGTACCCCCATATGTCACACTATAAGCACTGTTATTATCATCATGTTGTGCCCCTATATGTCACACTATAAGCATTGTTATTATTATCCCGTTGTGCCAGTACATGTAACATCATAGGATTCCCAGCTATCTTCCGAATAACAGCCACATATTATGGCGGCCAAAAACACCCTGACAGGGCATTATTAGGTCGTGTGTTGTAAACATTCAAAAACTTGAACTTGAAAATAATGAAGAACAAAAAAAAGGGAAAATGACTAAATCGACTACTTAGCGATAATTGAGGCCTTTATATCTGAAAATAGTGGCATGGAAATTGCAAATGGTGCCTGAAAATCTGCTCTTTGTGGCTGTGGCACCATTAAAACTTGGCTAAATATGATCGGTGCCGCATTGGTAACGCAGTTTTCACCGCCGAGAGTATCTCCCACGCCTGTGCACATGGCACGAATAGGGGGCTAAACTAGATGGCTGGGACTCATAAGCAAATAAATTGGAGGAAGTTACAGGAGATGCGGTAGCTGCTGCTCGTGAGTCCCAGCCATCTAGTTTAGACCCCAATCCGCGTAGCACATAGCAGCATGGGGGATACAATCGGCGGTGAGTTTAATCGGAAGAACACTATCGCTAACCTGCGTCAGAGCGGGTGGTCTTCCCACCATGTTGCTATTATCGTTTGTATTGTTGCGTTTCTCTAAATTGTCAACAGACAGTAATCCTAGTTTTGCCGCGATGTGTTCGTCGGACGAAGTCCGCAACTTACATGTGATTGAGGCCCTGTCAGGATGTGTTTTTGCCCGCCATAATATGTGGCCGTTATTCAAAGGATAGCTGGATTCCGTTCTTCTATCTATGATAGATTCTATCCTGTACTGTAGCGACTACGGTGTTCGGCAATTGGCGGTCTTTTGGCAATTTCCGTTACCATGGAAACCGTTCGAAACTTGCTTCGCAAATGCTAGGGTTTCGGGATGGGTCCTAATCTCTCATGAAATTTTGCAATTGGTGTGATTTTCACCCACTATAAAAAGCTGAAAATGGCGGGAAGGAACCCGATTAACAGCACATGTGTACGACAGCCGGACGTCCTCTGTTTTTCTGTTACATCAGTTTGATTGAAAATAGCGTTAAGTATTCAGGGTTGGCTTTAGGCTTCAACTGTTATTGGCCCTGGTAATGCTAGTTATAAT